GCAGCAAACTCCGGCGTTAACCTATGCCGCCATCTTGGTTCCTCTTTTCTCCAATCCACATTTGCCTTTTAGCAATGCATGCAGGCATATCAAAGGTAAAGTTTGGTAAACAGTAAAAGGATTATCAGATTAGGGAATTGCCTTGAGCCACCGATATCCAATTGGTGCTTATGCCCAAGGTGTGTACTACAGTGTTGGCAAGCAGTGGCTTCCCACATCTCCCTTTTTTTGTTTTCTTAATAAATCTTGAAAAGTGTATGCTGTCTGTAGGGCTTGAGTCCTTTTAAGACTCTTCATTCCGCATCTGCAGACTAGAAATAAATATATAAGAACAAGAATGAGACAGGTAATAGTGGTTATGCTAAGAGCCAGATGTAGGGAGATCCAATGAAGATTTTTGTCCTTCAATCTTTTAAAAAAAAATATATATATATATATATACATTTATTTATTGACTTCAGAGAGGAAGGAAGAGGGAGCAGTTCGCAGGCCGACGCTCTATCCAGTGAGCTAAACCAGCTAGGGCTGTCCTTCAATCTTTTTGACTTTGGTTAAATATGATGTGTTTGTATATTTATATAGTATATTTTGTTACCATTAAGCTTTTATATGCTTAAATAAAGTCAAGGACATATTTTTGTTCATGCTTCCTGAGAAGGTTCTCTGTGCCTTTATATAATATAAAGCTGAAAGTTGTACTTAACATATAAATTTTTATGAATAAAAATTGTGCTAACGGTGTTTATCATGACATTATTATTAGTTTTTTAAAAAATTCCTTTCACTTTTTTCTTAAAGCTTAATGTAAAATAACCTATTTAAGTAGCTGAGTGTATTTAAATTATCAGATAACAAAGATCTTATTTCATCTTGAGTAAATACTTGTTAAAATTACTCCCAAGAAGTACCTAGTATACTGCTTTGCAAAACTATCCATATATGTGTGATATAGTAGGTGAGGTGTGTGTGTGTGTGTGTGTGTAAGATTATGTAATTACATTAAGGAAACAAGTGATTCATTAGTGTACTAGAGCTTAGTCAAAGCCACCCGCCCCCTAGCCCCCCAACAGCAGGTACATATATTATTATTCATTCAACACAGTTGTAGTCTGGTTTATATTCAAGCTATTGAAGATGTTTTAGTTTGAAGTGGTGAGACTAATAGCAAATGTTAATGATGGCTTCCTGGAGGAATTCCTTTTGAGGACAGGATTTAACAGAATTAGCTATGGCAGGATCTTTATGTTGAAAGAATAGACTTAGAGGAGCTGAATAATGAGATGAAGAATGTGATACATTTTAAGGTGGCCCATTTTCTTTGGTACTATCTCCATAAAAATTTATGGAAGCTCAGAAATTACC